TTTGTTATATACCCGTAGATGGTGAAGAATCCAACTGAATATATGAAATATCATATATGTGAAAAACGGGCCCTGCTGGCTTTTCTTCCTTCTGCTATTTTTTGTTTTACTACCCAAAATAAGGGTTGGGCTTCCTCTAGATCCGCTACTGTATAGTAGTGTTTACACGCTCTAAGGATTGCGTAAATTTTCTTTGAGGTAGCATTTATGTGGGCGCCGGTTAAGACATTCGTCAAATTGAGCACCAAGAGATTTATGTCTGCTCAGCCTATCTAATGGTGTATTATGGCCTTTGACTGTAAAATTATTATGTATTTGGGATAACTTGAAGTTACTTCCTATAGGTATGTTCTTAGTTTTCTTGATATTTAAAGTTAATTTGTTTGCTGTCAGCCGCGACTGGATTACATCCACATCATAATTCAATTTGTGTTTCAAGAAATATGGGTCTTCCGAAGATGAGGTAAGAGTCGCGTTATCTCCTTACATTCTGGGTTTTGAAAGAGAAATTCAGACGAAGTTTGTGCCCTGTCCACACTACGCCGGAGAAATTTAAAAACGCAGCTTTATATCTTCTGGTTAGGCCTATCGTCCACACTAATCCGTCACGCAAACGAAGCTTTTCGAAAACGCTCTTCAAGCCAGAGGAATTTGAAGACGCCGGGTTTGCGTAGACGTGTGGACGGAAAATATTTTGAAAACGAAGCTTTTCAAAATCGAGGACATCGTGATAATCATGTGGATTCACTTCCCGAGTTGTCTTCAAACACAAATCTAAAATAACCAGTGTTTTTTGCGCTTTCAAATTTCTCCGGCGTAGAGTGAACGGAACACATTTGATGCGTTTTCAAAGTGAAAACGTGGTTTTAAAATTTCTCCGGCGTCCTGTGGCCGTGACCTTATTCTACGCATCCAAACTCTAATTTCTTAGCTTAAAGCAATTATGAAAATTACGACGCCCAGCTGGATGAGACGTTTTGTTTTTTTCTTCTATTCTTTGAAAACATAAGAATAACAAGGTTTCATTAAGTGCCCCTAGCTTCCTACGAAGGCTCAGATAACAAATAATTAGTAAAAAAAAAAGCCAATAATAATAATAATAATAATAATAATAATAATAATAATAATGAATGTAATACAACAGAGTGTTGATTAAAAACTTTTTGTATTTGGCGAAAATTGAGATCTAGAAAAGCTGCAAGATAGTCAAAG